TCACTGCTTAATCCACTTGATTCACTTGCCAATATAAAACTGTCGTCCTGATTTTCGTTAGATAGTGCTTCATTGTCGCCAGCCTCAGAAAGAAATGAATCATATGTAAAATCTGTACTAATTTGAACAGGTGTGGTTTCATATTGTAACGAAATAATGTCGTCTTCGAGATTCATAGTCATTTCCCTTACCTTATTAGTATTAGCCATGGAAATCCTCAGTTCACTTGTTAAATAAACGTGTCACGATCATTATCTATAAAATGGGATGGGATGATCCTTAAAAATCGTTCAGGATCATCCTTAAATAGATATATGTAGGACCGGGTCCTATTTGCCTGTCACGTGACTAAAGGATCGTGGGACCAAAAATCCCTAAAGCTAGAATCGGACGGGGATCATTCAATAAAAAGATCATTCAGGACTGAATCCCTAAGGACCAGTTAACATCCCTAATATTATATAATAAATAAAAAAATAATATTTACTTACAAAAAAATAAAAAATAAAAAAAAATAAAGCAAAAGTTTTCTATATGTCAAATTAGTATATAAAGATTTTTTATAATTCAAATATAGTAATATTAGAATAAATAATGATTAATAAATTTTAAATTCTTTAAATATTAATAAGATATGACTTTAAATTGATTTATAACTTGATAAGACTCAATAATTTTTCAAAATTATATTATGGTTTAATACTTGAATTGTTATAGAAATTTTTAATAATATTATTTTGAAACCAATTCAAAACCAATTCAAACCTTAAATTTATTATAAGTAAGTTATAATATATATATTAAATTTATTCTAAATTAATATTATTTTAATATTACTCATTAATACTTTTTTGAAATTTTTATTAAACATATAATTATAAATTCTTGTTTAATAAAAGTCATATATCTAATGCTTTTTATAACAAATAAAAATAAATAAATAAACAAATGCACAATTAATTAATAATACCAATACCAATTTTTATTATTAATAATAAATATGATGAATTTATCTTGAAATATATATAAAAACCGTTAAAAAAAAAAAAATCAAATTGACAATATATTGGATTAACCGAAAAATCAATAATAATAAATATTTTTATGATTAAACATTAAGAATTTATATTCTTTTTTTTTTATATAGTATATTTTACAGTATAACATATACAGTAGAATTGTTTTTATTATTATTATAGATATTTAATAAATATTTTGATAAAATAATAAAGAATATTTTTTGTTAATATACAAAATAAATAAATAAATCGATAAGATCCTATTTTTATACATTACATCAAAGGGAAATTGGTTGAACGACAACGACAACCAAAAAAATAAAAATCGACGGCATATCAATTACTTTTTTTTTTTTTTTTACAACTTCGCAGGATAATAGAAAACTTATCACAAAAGAAATCAAATTTATCAAGCTATTATTGAATAATATATTTGGTAATGATTAAAATCAAGATATATGGATGATTAAAGGATTTGTTTCTTTTTTAGATAAATAAGTGTATGTTTTTTTATTGTGATTTAATAAATAAGATGATCATTAATTATATGTTTTTTGTAACGAATCAAAGGATCACATCTTTGAATGTCGCTTGCGGTGATCACTTTTAATGAAACTTTAAAAGTACACTCATTTCAAAAGATATTTTACGACGCAAACAATTGTCCCCTTTTTTGTGTTTTTAGACATAGTAAATCTAATAAAAAATTATGTAATGTACTATTACCTCATGATTATAAATATAGCCTGGGTTATATCACGGGACATGCACATTTTGTTTAAAGGAACAATCAGCCTCCTTTTTTTACTTTCCCGTAACTCATTTTCACTATTGAAAATGAATTCCATCAACGAGGACGAATTTTTGCAGGCTTTCATGCAAATCAAACATAATGATATTTTTTTGCCTGGAGAATTGCATCGTCCCACCGATAAAAATACAGGGATATGCGTGTTTGTTCACGGATCCGGATCAAGCAGATTTAGCCCAAGGTAGGAAAAAGCGAATCTTCCTTATTGGTCAATTCGAATTGTAAGTGAGATGAACAACAAGCTTTATACGCGCAAGTTTGTTGTGGATTCTATCGATTGAATAAAGGGACACATACAGGCCGCATTAAAAGCGGCATGATATTAGGATTCTATATGACTTGGCGTTTTAAAATATTTTGTAAATAAAATAATCGTCTTCTGATATTTTATTTATTTACACGCACCGATGATACAAACATCCTGATACGACGATGTAATTCGATTATCAGGAATCAGTAAGTTCCTCAATTAAAGCAAGAAGTACCCAATTCGTTTACTTTCTTTCAGCCAGAATTACGTAATTAACATGAAACCCGTAGATACATTGCGAAGGCTCTTCGATCTCGAGGAATAGGCACATTTTTGTTAGACCTTCTCACTCCCGAAGAAGAGCAGATTGATGAGGTGACAAGACACTTGCGTTTCAACATAGGTTAGTGCATGTGAGTATCAGCTTCTGGACTCACTTTATACTTGTGTGCGGTTGCACGACCATGATTTGTTTTTTACCAACCATTTGAAACTCATGGTGTACACATATTTGCTAAAACAGAGATGTTGGCTGAAAGGGTTGTTTCGGTAATTGATCACTTTGAAAAGGCCGAGGACTTGAAGGGGTTGCCAATTGGATTGTTTGGGGTGAGTTTCACTCAACGCACACTCTTCGGAGGATTGAGTCGATTAGGAAATATTACTATTTTCGGAAGTTCATTAAAAAAAGAAACATCTTTTCTTTCCCTAGGCTTCGACCGGGGGTGGAGGTAATGTTACTGATTCCTTTTAATTCACCGATTCACCATTTAATCCTTGATTTTAGTCCACTTTAAAAGAGGAAATTCTCTTACTAATCTTTCGTCGTATGGATAATCGATTTTTATTGTACACCACGAATAACCTAACGTTACTTCGACGCGTTCATTCCCAATGATCAACACTGATTTTCGGCGCGTCTGCAAAATCAGCTGCATTACTTGCTGCTCTCAAACGTCCAGATCGAGTCCGATTGGTTATTGCTCGTGGCGGCAGACCTGACTTGATGAACCCCGCGCTTCTCAAAGAGATAATTACCCCTACTTTATTCATAGTGGGTGGGAATGATTCTGTGGTGCTGAAAATGAATGAGAAAGCGTTCAATGATCTGGGTAGTCAGATCAAGCACTTGACAGTCATTCCTGGCGCCACCCATTTGTTCGAAGAACCAGGTGAGATTTTTATGAAATGCCTGCTTTGTGTTTGTTTGCGGGGCTAGGGCATCGATTGTCAAAAGAATTGACAAAATCGAAATACGCCGAAGAAACAATAATGCAACATCCGTCACCCGTCTTTTTCGATGGGCAGCTCTTTCTGCATGCATGCATGATGTGTTACTAACCACTATTACCCGTGAACTGTTTTTTTCGTGTGGTTTAACAAACAGGTTGTCTCGAAAAGGTAGCGGATCTCGCGATTCAATGGATGGAACGATACTTGATTGAAAAGGAAGTCACAGAGCAATCTAAGCGATGAGCGATTTGAAAGGCGCAAAAGGGATTCGAATCGGCGGTATACATTTTGGGGGGCGACGAATGTAGTTAGAATGAAATCACGACGATGATTTCTTTCAAATTAAATTTCAAGTTTCATGGTCTCAAGCTTTAGTTGTTTGAGATCTGCGTGTTTATGACGGAAGTGGTCTAAATAAATGCCAAGTTTAAAGTGAATCTTTCCTGAAATCATCAAGTGTTATTTATAATTCGTAATCGTCAAGCAAAAAAATTTTTCTTTGTACGATTCATCAGTTGTTCCGGCTCAACGGAAACCCAAATGCCAAAATTTTCACGCTAACCACTTCTGACAATTTATTTCGCCATGCATAAGGATGAGCCTCTTTTTCAAATTGAAAACGGATAGTGTTTTGAAAATATTTGTCAAAACAAATTTCGGCAGTTTATATGTGGTTCGGATCGGGTCTAGAAGTAATAATGTCATCCTTCCTTGTGGCCCGTTTGCGACCTGTGTGCAACAAGGATTTCTCTTTGTCCATTTTTGACAAAGCTAGTAATGGTACTGTATCTATGTAACCTTCGTAGGACCAAGAGTCCGACACTCTGCATATTCTTTTTTCCCTCTTTTCAAGAACGTCAATCTGTAAACGGAAAATCCATGCCACCGTGCAATTTTTCGCCAACATATTCGACGTGCTGTATATTAATTTACGGCAGAGTTGAAAGAAGATGTGGTTCAGGTTAGTCTCATAGTTATCTGCATTCTTTATCGGAGTTTACTAAGAAATTATCAATTCCTTCATTTTCCCCCAAAACTCACCCTCATTGCATTGGCGTAGTCACACGATTGACCGAAATTTTTATTGTCGAATGCAAGAATGGTTTACGTGGGACAATAAAAAAAAAATAACCAGTACCGTATTTGGACTTAGAACGTAACGCTTTGCGAAATTCAATTTTCAGAGCACCACACAAAGACTGGAAATTTGGGACACCCATTGCGCATTAACCCTTTTGGGTAACGGTGAAACCGGAATCATTTCCTATCTCACATGCGCTTTACCCTATTACCTGAATATGGTTACAAAGAAATCTGGTTTTAAGGTTCATAAAAAAAATTAAGTGCGTTACTTGAAAGTAGGACAACTTCTTGGGCACACAATTTAAGTGATTGAGATGTCGATCGATGGGTTTGTGGTGTATAACCTTTTGTTGCATAATTGTTCGTCAAAAAACGTTATTATTAGAATATATCCGTTCGAATGAGAGTTTCGGATTTTCTAATCTTGGAGGTGGGAAGGCATTCTCATTGTTTCGTAGAAATGAGATCTCATTGAGGGGTGTAATTTTATAAAGGAGTCATTTTATTTATTTATTTGTTCTCTCTTAAAGATACATGCGAGGACTCTTACTTGTCGACGTAGACCTGACCTTCCCTAATGGGTGATGTGTGTCGGTCTCTGGCGTAGAAATCGTTCGTTAATGACGAATTGTCAAATGAACCAATTTTCAAAGAGAAAAAAAAAACATTTTTGGAAACTTTTTTTTTTTTTTTCAAAGAGATTTTATCAGATATTTATAAACATAAAAGTACAGAGTTTAGAGAAAATAGACAGATATCGAGTCAACTATCAACAAAAGGTTAAAATGAACTATACAATAAAAATTATTCCTCGGATTAAAGTGATCAATAGGAAACATCTCCCTCGTGAAACTGTGCATAATCTTTGAAAATGAAAGATGTAAACTTTGTGGAGAAAAATCATCGGCCTCTGTTCGAGACGTCGAGTGTTGTTGAGAAAATATTTTAGGGAATTTTCTCTTTCTCGCGTTCGAAGGAATGCCAAATGATCCATCCACGAAGTGATCTTCATAAGTTTTTCAAATGCTTAAATCTTTTTGAAAATATTCTTCCCATATAAATCTGCTACAACTGCTAAAATGATAATGGACGATAGAGTTATGGCATCGACCAAATCATATCCTCTCAACTAAAAAGCAAATCACCAATACGAAGAGATCTTCAAAAAGATGATGTTAAGGGTAAAGTAAAGATGTGTGTGTGTGATTCGGGTGTCGGGTGGTGGTTGATGGGGAGATAGTCAAATGAAATCTATCCAACTACCGTTCCGTTGGTCACCGGTAGAGCATCTCGAGGAAAATTTCTAAATGAAATTTTTTTTTTTTTAAGATTCTATTTATGTGTATATATATATCAGTGTTTTTTGAAAAATAGTTTGGGTAAAGAGAAGAAGGGTAATTATGAGCGAGGAAGAAACAAAAGGGATATATATAGATATAGATATAGATATAGATATACGCACACATGTGGAAAAGTTTATGGCAAACTTTCCCTCGTATATTGCGTATATATATATATATAAACATATGAATATATAATTTTTTTACGTTAAATAATAATGGTATTAGGAGAGTAAAAAGAAATCTACTTTTGATGTCCAAAGTCCAACTACTTAAAATAAATAAATGTGTGCATGTATATATTAAGGATGAGTGACAAGGAAAAAAAACGACGATTACCCGTTAATAAGAAGAATAATAATAAGCAACATAAAGCCCAAAATATTACAAAGAAAAGATTAAAGGTTTAAAGTATTGAGGAAACTTTAAGAAAAATGTGATATTATTACGTCAGAAGGAAGCACACTTGAACGCTGAGGATTTGGTTGGAGTGAAAATATTGATGGCAGACATTTCTATTACTAACTTTTGCGCCTTGTGGGACAACATCAGGGATCATTTGTAAGAAGAATCTTAATGAAATCTCTCACAAGGTAAAGATTTATGTTTTAATGTTCAACATTTAAATCACCTTGTTTCGTTGGTTGGTCGGTTGAACGTGTGTGACAACATGTCTGCGTTCCAACCACCACGTCATTCCTGTCGATGGACTAGAGGAGGTCGTAAGGGGCTGGGTGGAATGTGCAAGGTATGCTTTTAGCATTATTTCCAAGACGACAAAAAGTTTAAGGATTATCGTGAAAGAAGAGGAAGAAGAAGAATTGGAATAAGAACAATAAAAAGGAAAAAAAAAGGCAAGAATTAAGGTAATAGCGATAAGGTATGAATGTCAACATAATATTATCCATCCACAAAACCCAGAGTTCTTCGTGTACTATCCGGGCACTAGGTACAATTTTTGAGGCATCACCGAACACCCTCCTAAGAGTCAATCATCCATTAATGTAGACATCAACACATTTCAACGACGAACCGGGATTCATCTCCAATGAATTTTTGGAATGTCTTTTTATCAGACTTGATTCATCGCGGGCCTATAATGGCTGGGGAGCATCGAGAACTCTTTTGATTTTTGATACGAGGGAGTTCGAGACTTCAGTGAAATGCGAACCGGTGATTCA